AAATTGAAAAATAAATAACTATGATGTTCATGTTTTTGTGTTTTCTTTATTCGCAATTTTGTACCTATATCTTGAAAACGAATTAAATCTACATTTCCTGATAATACTTTCACGTACGTATAATTTGTCATGGTTTTATTGCTCTTAAATAAGAAGATACATAAATGTATACCTTCTAGTTTATTAAATTGTGAGTGACCAACCATCACACATCAACCATCATGAATTGAACGAGATTGAATAAACAGTATCTATAGCATGGTTTCATATAAATATAACTAAACATGGCATTGTTCTACTTGCGAAGGTTAAAAAAGGAATTTTATGTCCAATTCATTCGCCCCTTATGGTGATTTTCATTTTCAAGGTCATGATTTAAAAGAAAGTTTGTAACGAAGCTTTGAGAAAGATTTTATTTTTCCTTCAAAATGGTTCTAAACAGAAGAAAAAAGGGGTAAGCCATCATTTGAAGTCCATTTTCTTAAGGATAACATTGTGAAAAGTTTACGACACAGTCAAGAACCAGGTATTACGAAGGTTACTTACAGAAAGTTTCCGTCATGTCTAAAAATGAATGATTAAGGGGCCAATTACTGTATATGTATATACTTTTTAAAAATATTATATATTTAACATATTTTCTATGAAAGTGGTATTTAATTCATATTTCTTTTTTGAAACATAAAGTTTGCCAAATTTCACAATTTGGACCTTATGTTTCCTAATTACATGAATAAAAAGAAGATAAAAATCTAATTACAGGTCCAGAAGATAAACATCTTTGCTTCAGAAATTAAAATCAACATTCAAGTTTTAAGTGTTTTAGCCCATTTAGGCCCTTTAGGTGCAATTTTCTGTTTCATTATTGTGTTTAACAACTGTTAAAAATAATCTTTCAATTTTCAAAAAAATATAAAAAAAAAAGAAAGAATTTTTGGGTCATCAATAAATATTCTGTATTTAACCTTTAAGTATAATTTGAAAAGTTAGAAACGGTTTAGAACACTACATCGTAACGTACTTTTTTTTCAATATTTCTTTATTGAGATATTATGCATTGAACTTTAGCATTCTGGTCCATTCTGAACCCTAACTACGTTTCATATAATTTAATCATAAACTATTCCTGATAAAAACATTTATACTGTATACAGGGTTATTTTCGCCCCGTCTTATTTTCGCCCTTTCACACTTGCAAACAATTTTGCCCCGTTTTAAATTCGCCCAGTCATAGTTTTGTTTAAGAAATTATACTGTATTCTTTGAATTCGCCCCGTTTTAAATTCGCCCAAATGATAGTAGGGCGAAAGGGGCGAAAATAAAACGGGGGCGAAAATTTCCCTGTATACAGTACTTATTTTTTAACTTGTTTTAACAAACGGCATATATTGTTCATGAAAGGGTTATAGATTTAAGACTTTCGGTCCCTAAAATCCTCATCCCTCCTCCCCCTGTAACTCATACTCTTTTTTCCTAATTAATACTCTAACGTACTTCCGTACTTCTGGAGATAAAAAAAAATATGGTCAGATGCAACGCATTTCGATTTACCTTTAGCAATGCATACAAAGAGGTTCTTTGAGCGATCGATATAACATGTCTAAGCTTAAGTAGACTAATAATTAAAAGGAATATACAGTAGGAAAGATCTAATCAATATGTTAATGACAGTTTAAATTTCTATTTTAAGTTTAGCAGAACAAAGTTGGTTTTTAAAGCCACCAGAACAGAGACTCAGGCACGTAGCATCGTTTTTGAAAGTGGGGGGGCCAACCTGAGAATTTTTTTTACTTACCGAAAAAAAGTTGACAAGCAAAAAAAAAAAAAACAAAAATTAAAAATTGCCCAAACTCAAAAATCCTGTTTCGTGGGGGGGGGGGGGGGGGGGGGGGTGGGGGGGGGGGGGGTAGTGGCCAACTTTTTTCAGGGCAAAGTTCCTTTCACTTCCAATTTTTTCCTATATTTTCTGGCTATGTATATACTGTGGCAACAATTGGGGGGGCCAACCATCTTTTCAATTGACATTTTCTATAGTAAAGGTAATGTTGGGGAAAAAAGTGGGGGGGCCAGGCCCCCCCCTGGCCCCCCCTGATACTACGTGCCTGAGACTATCAGCTTTTGTTCGAAGATAATGGCCTTCATTCTTCAGTGTTCCAAATATCATGTTCTGTCAAAAATCAATAAAACATACCTTAGTTCCTGTAATTTGTACATGTATTAGTGTACTTTAAATAGACACAAATAGGGCACAAATAGGGCCTCTCCAAACACAAAGTAAAAAAAAATCCTTGATCTGTACCTATAATTGAATGTAACGTTGACAAGGGGAATAACTCTTCAGAATGTGAAAATCTTGATTTTGACATGCGATAATTTTTTACCATGTCTTAACTTTAATCTAACCATTTGCATTTTGGTTTAATATACCCGAATTTATACTTTAACATGTTAACTGCATTTACATCTTTGACCCTGGCCTCAGTTATCTACAACAAGTGTTTAGCTTAACTTTAGAGATGTCATTGAAGAGAGTGTTAACAAAACTGATGAGATCTACATACGAGGGTTGATCCAAAAGTTCGTGGAATTTCTTCATAATTCATTTATTTTTCAGTGGAATTGGTTGAAAATTACAAATGAAAATATAGACACTTGATGAATAATTTGAATTAAAAAACATTTTAAATATCTTTGATAATAACTTTATGGCAGTTGCCATAGAAACGGTTGTTTGGATATGCAGGGGAGACATGAACGCGTTTATCATTATTTAAATTCTTAATTCGTGAAATAGGAATTAAACCGCCCTATGTGGTATATAAAACGAAAACTATGCCATTATTACGATTGCTTGATCTTTTATAAACCTTTGTGTGAGAGTTTTGTGAAAATCCTGGGATCATTCTATCTTAAACGCGAATATTATTGACAAAGGCTTGGGAAAAATGCATTTAGTTTCTGGTTTTCCAGTGGCATAAGAATTTTAAGAAAAAAAGAACTTCAATGGACGTTGATAAAAGATGTGGTCGCTTTTTAGAGGCTATATTTAGGTACGTATCCCCCTAGACAAATAAAAAGCGTTAATTGGCGTTGTCGGCTGTCGTACTGTTCTTGACATTGCTACTGAAATTGGAACATCATGAAGAAAGATGGGTAGTTTTTTGAAATATGAGTAGAAAATTAAGATAAGTTGATGCAAGAGGATACCCAGCCTTTTCTTACGAGAAAAAATGGAGAAAAAAGCAGCATTTTGTAGAATTACATATTATAATTGGACATTTGGGTGAGATGCTTCTTTAACGTGACGTGACATATCTAACTTGACGTTACGTCGAAGTCTCCCCCGGGTTTCCCAATTATCCATTTTCAGAAAGCTCGTGTGACCTAATTGGTAATTGGAAAGTGGTGAAATTTTCCAGTATTGTTGCGTTATGTCTCTATTTTATAAATATACCTCTTGATTGATTTCATCAAATCATGATAAAATTTTAGAAAGAAATTCCACGAACTTTTGGATCAACCCTCGTATATCTAACTGTATCAATATTTTTCACCCAAACCTTTTAATTGAGCCTTACCTTAACCTCATTTATTTTTTTTCAATTATTGTTTAAACAGGTTCACTTTATGTATAAAGTAGCCCTTTCCTGTATCAATTAATTGACTAAAACCTTCTTTCCCAGTTCGCCTTTCAAAATAAAGTAGAGCCTAGGTACTTTTATTTCTTATGATAATTTTTTTTTAGAAACCATGTATTAAGAAACAGACTTTGAGAATTAACAGTTTTCCTGAATTTTTTATTAAAAAACAATTGGCTACATTCACCAAAGAATTAGAATATTAACACAACCTTCGATGAAACAATGAAACTTGTATTTTGAATTGCATATTTTGGATCAGTCATTGTGCTATATATATGAAATCTGGAAACAGAAATTCCATTTCAAAAGAAATTTACAGGATAAAAATATAATGACGCAATATATGACGTCATTATACATATACTAGATGGAAATTTTCGTCATGTTAAATAAATACATGGTCATCAAAAGTCCCAGTGATAATTGCTGCATGTTCAACCTTAATTCTAAGGCAATTGTTTTGTAAAACACTCTTTCATTGGCTAATGCACTGATGTTTGAAGCAGTAAAACGAGCATTAACGAGCGTGAAAGCTTTTTCATTGTGACGTCATAATAGAGCGACGCAAAAATGCAATGCTCCGTGACGTATTTCATGTAACAAAATTCAACAAAATAAGACGTAAACAACAAACAAAATGCATGGATTGCATTGGAATGGGAACTAGGGAATATCTATCTTCTAATTTGGTATTTGCGACCGTTAATGCTGATTTAACGGTCGCAAACATGCCGTTTTACCGGCGACGCGTAAGCGGAGCCGGTAAAACGGCTGTTTGCGACCGTTAAATCAGCATTAACGGTCGCAAATACCAAATTAGAAGATAGTTATTCCCTAATTTAGCAGTTTTGACTTCTCAGATTCTGAGGTCCAAAAATTATGCCATAATTATAAGTGGCTTTTTTCCTAGACCATAGTTAATTTTTTTGCTTTTTTGCTATATAAACACTATCGACATCTCAAGGGCGAACTTGAGCTAGATTATAAACGTTGTTTATGGAAATCTGAAAAGGATTTTCACTTAAATGAAACATAGAGATAATAGAGTACATAGTATTTGAGCTCAAAAGTCCATTTAACATTACAAGACAGGAGCAAAATAAAAACTCCAAACAATCAGAAAATGGGATCAGGTACCATGCAGTAGAGAGCATCTTCTGTTTGATTGTAGTTTAGAATTCATATCTACTATCTTCATTACTTTAAAAATCCACAGGATATTGACTGATGGTTACTAGTTTGATTTTGCGTAATTTGAAATGCTTGACAATTACTTTGAAAAACATTTATAAACCTTATTCTACGTTAGTCCTTTCAGTTTATTTTATTCAAACATTTCCTACTGTTCAAAGCTGACTGAGAGAGGGATAAACTTTCTACTCCAATAGCAAAGTTGTATGGAATCTCTCAGTGCTAGACAAGGTGCATTAACGAATCTGTCCTTAGGTCTTTTGAGTGACAACTTCCGGCAGATGTGCAGTCTTAATATTGCAAGCATTGAAGATATCACTGGGAGCGGCCTTGTATGCTTAGCAAAGAATCTACGTCATCTAGAATTCATCGACCTTAGCTGGGCAGGGGGATCCTGTAAGTGCTGAAACATGATGACCATTTAGAAACTAAAATTTCAGATCAAGGTTCATCAATACTCTGATAAGAGAGATAACTCTTAATGTCATTAATCTCTATTATTCCTTTATAAACTTGTGAAGTTGACTGATTGATTGTATATTGTTTAACGTCCCTCTCGAGAATTTTTTATTCATATGGAGACGTCACCAATGTCGGTGAAAGGCTTCAAATTTAGACCTATACTCGGCACTCAGGGCCATTGAGCAGTGAGGGTTCTTTATCGTGCCAACGTCTACCGTGACACGGGACCTACGTTTTTAAGGTCATATCCGAAAGACCCGTGACTTTCACTTCTAGTGCCGAGCGCTTGGCGAAGGAACAGTCACTACCTTTGTTCTTAGGTATGACGTGGAGCCGCGAACGAGAATCGAACCCGGGCCTCCCGATCACGAAGCGAGCGCTCTACCACTAGACTACCGTGACCGGTTTGTGAAGTTGAAGTGTCTTTTTTATCCAATTTCGACCCGCAAGCTATGCTATATTTGTTTGTATTATACTTATAAAATGCATTTCTTTTGGGAAAAAAAAAAACATTAAGGTTTAAGCAACATTTTGTACGAATGAGCAGAGGATCTAATAGATTTATTGATTGTATATTGTTTAACGTCCCTCTCAAGAACGCAGCACAGTTAAGGTTACAAAAAGGAGGCAGAGCCTAATTTGTACGGGAAAACTTGACTATGACATCATACACAATATACGTCATACAACATTTCTTTAAAATGCCACAAAATGAGTTTATCTGCTAATTTAACTAGTAAGAAATCATCAAACTACATAAAAACTTACTACTGCGTGTTGTTTTGTCGTTAGTTAAATCCCACATGACAAGTTATAAACAAGTCACTGATCGCAATACACTTGTCAATATGACGTCATTTCTTACAACGTGACGTAGTTTGTATGCAGTGAGACACAGATCAAGTAATATTTTCTCAACAAAATAGGTACTTTCTAATTAAATAAAATATTATTTACAGATATTCTATGGGCCAATAACTTGAATTTAATGTCTTCTTCGCTATTTTATTAATATATTTTCTGTACATTACGTATTTAATTAACACTGCCGTATATTTGTATGCAAGTACATCGAACGGTAATGTGGGGGGTCTCTATAAATCGATCTAGTGCAAGGGCATACACTCCATGGATCAAAGTAAGCTTTTACATTTCAACTATAGAACTATTAAGGTATCTGAAAAGTGCTGCGATCCTGATGAAATCTTAAAAACAATTTATTTATATCCATATTTCATGCCGCTGACAAGCAAAAAATATAGCATTCGGTCATACAAGTATAATTTTAACAATGAAATTGCAGAATTTAGACAGGATCGCAGCACTTTTTAGAAACTACAATATGCGTTGAAAATATTTATATACTAAACTTGGAAATTTATCTTGGTTATGCCCTTGCACTGGTGACATTTATATGTATCATCAATACTTCAAATCAATGTGCTAAAATCGCGTGACTGCCGCATCACGTGACTAGTCTAAATATAAAATATAATCGTCCTCGATATGTAGTTATTAATCATTATTACAATTATCCGATATAAATAATGTACTAAAAATAATCGCCATCCCGATTACGAATACATTTTGAAATACAAAATTTAGTCGATATTTCCATTGCGCACCTTAACTGTACTGCGAATTTTTCACTCATATGGAGACGCCACCACTTGCCGATGGAGAGCTGCAAATTGTGTCCTATGCTCGGCACTTAGGGCCATTGAGCAGGGAGGGTTCTTTTTCGTGCTAGCACTTACTGCGACACGGGACCTCGGTTTATATGGTTTATACGGTCTCCACGTCCCACAGTGGGATTGGAATCCACGACGTGAGGATTCACTCCTTACTTCGCGACTCTAGAGCAGACGCTATAACCTCTAATAGAATACTGTGGAATGATTTAAATTCTTCATGGTCAATGTTCATGGGCAATCTAAATTTTATTGGTTCATGGGGACGTTCTTTTATGGTTAATTCATATTTACAGAAAACCTAGTGAATAAATTTAATGACAAAATCATTATTCGTAGGGGGTTAAAATTTATAGATAAGGGTGACCAAAGAAATCCACAACCATTGGTCCCCACGAAAATGATGACTCAACAGTTACTTTTCCCCAAAATTTGATTAAAAGTATTCTGATTAACACGTTAATCACAGAACTTTAATGACGCATTGTTTTATGTTTCAGGCCTGCAAGATGAAGTCACAAAAGCGATTCTACATTACTGCCCAAGGATAAACGAAATGATTTTGAATGGCCAAGCTTTGATGACATCTAAACCCTTTCTTTCCATTATATCAGGTCAGTTGTAAAGCAGTTTACCAACAAAATTTTCCCAATGGAAACGGATTTTACCAATGTCGGCAAGGAAAGCTTATACTTGCATGAAACCTGATCCCACATCTGGTGTTTTAGGAGGTCCTTTATTGCTCTACTCCAATTTTGTATCTTTGAAAGGAATTTTGAGATTGAATACTGTTAGTTATCCCCATAAATTTTACCGTTCTTGTCAGAGGCTGTTTCAATAAAAAAAATAGATGTGTAATTCCGGAAAACATACCAACAAGACATTGTCGTTTGTTTCTGTATTATTATTAAGCGAGTCCACATGCGTGTAGATATTATTGGCCAGTGGGATCGATCAGGATTTGTTTTCATCTTTTTAAAGAAATTTATTGATCTGCTGTGTAAACAGATACTTTTATTTAAGGACATACGCAGGGTACATTACTGATAATTTTTCAAGATATTCTAAATTTAAACTTAAAATACCATTACATGTTCTTTGACAAAAAATCAGCATGCGTTACCAGGCGTTTTGAAAAGACATCAAATAATGAAAATTTTTGCATTATTCAAAGAAAAAAGTACAAAAATTATGAAACATAAATCCAAGATTTTTTTTCATCAAAATTGTTTTAGAAAAGGTGTACAAATCCATATATAGACATTTAAAGTATTGCATACAGGTCCTTCCTTTAGTGGAACACTTCAATTCCAGGGAAAAACCCAATAAAGTTCAAACTACGTTGCGTATGACCTTAAATAGGGTTCTCCTTGACATTTCAGATTACAATAAATGGAGTCGATGTAAGGCTTTATTCTTCTTTAAAGCCAAGGAGAGGGCAGCCAAGGAAGTCCTGCAAATTGCTGATGATGGGGAATCTAGTGATGATGTAGGTTTAATATTAATATTGAAATATATGCATACAATGTAATTTGAATGAGATAGAAAAAGAGACTTAAAAATTGAACTCCTTCTTGATCTTTAATCATTGAAAAGGTTTCGTAGTGATTGAAGAGGGGCATACACTGAACAAAATTCCTAAAATACCTGTATATGTAACATCATTGAATATCAATTTGAAAATTTAAATGGTGTTTATGTCAAGGTAAGCGTTGCTGTTAAAACCTCACTAAATTATATCAAAACATAAAATATGCCAAATCGGCTGTAAAAAAATTGCTAGTATTTTAAAATTTGGACGTATGATATGAATTTGAGGGTGATATGATTAAATTTGACTGCAGTAGGCAAAAAAGTAATTCAGATACATTATATTGGTGTTGCTGACAAAGAAATTTTTGCAGATGCAAATACAGAGTTGTGTGTTACCGGTTCTGTCAAGTGTACAATTAGAAAATGAAAGAGAATAAATTGTGTGATTTTCTTTTCCAGGGATGAAAAAGTAATTTGATTCTTAAGAAGTGTTTCCAAATGAATTTCTATAAATCTCTTTTGATAGGAAATTCACATCGAGCACATTTTGCTTTATATTCATCGAGATATCATAGAATGGTACTTCTTTGAGTGAATGTAGATCATGAACATGAACGTTAACTTTCTGATACTCTTTGTTATAGGAATAGGAAGAAATGCAGTTCCAACACCGTTCCACCACCTTTGCTACAAACCTCCAATCCCTCTGTCTAGAGTATTGTGACAGTATTACTGATACAGATATGGAGGACATTGTCACAGTCTGTAGGGGGTCCATATCAGTGATAGATTATTACAGCTGTGAGGTGCGACCAAAAGTACTGACACTTAGAAAATTTGAAGTAAAAGACTTGTCTGGTGCTAAAAATGACTGAGTGATGAGGAAAGTCAATATCGTAAAAAAGACATTAAAGACTATATGACAACTATTTATTTGTAAAAAATATATAAACATATTTAAACTTATTTCAGTGGTGAATATTTGACGCAGACGTAATATGGAAAATTTCAGGGCGTCTTGTGATTAGCCTTTATCCAATCAGTAATCGACAAATTTGTCTGAAGCGGGATAAAATATGCTACGTTTCAACAAAAACAGAGCCAATTGCTTATTTGAATGAGAATATCTTTTTTTTAAACTACGATGGTATGTTTAGGTTGAACCTATGTCAGAAAAGTCTTTGTCACAAAATTTTCAATCTTTAATTAGGACTTGCTTATCAATCAGTAAAGCTCATGATACGTTTCCTTGTTTTCAAATGTAGTACAGCCTTTGAGACTTGGTATGTTGATACATACTGCGTCTACACATTTTCAGGTTTTTTAGGGGTACTTGTCAAGAAGAGAATATGAAAAATCTCAAAAATATCTATTCAAACATCGTCGTTTATAGACTGTATAAACTGAGCAATATTAAGCAATATTTCTCAAGAATAATTTCTTTTTATATAATTGACATAAAAGATAAGTCCACATTTAAAAAAAAAGGCAAATGACGTTTATTTTTTAGACAATTTTCCACCCTACATTCGTAAATATTTTTCAAAAGTATTTGTCACAATATTTTCAGTCTTTAATATGATGAAGAACATACCCAAATGATTACAAAAAGTTATTAAAATATATACCTTTCGCCTCTAACTAATGAGAGGTAGGCTAATTACCGATGCTAATATTCTTGACCTTTTTGCACTTAACACGGGATTTATGACTGTATGGGGTTTACTTTAGATTAAAAATGTTTATCAAAAATTGTTCTTTTAATCTAAAACGATCACTTGTAATAGAAAAAATGTAATCAAACACCAAGAATATGAGTAAGTAACAAATAATTATGAAAAGGAATGCACATCATTTCAGTATAAATATCACAAAAATGTACACACGATCTACAACACATTCATCTTTGACTAAGACACATTTCATCAAGATATAACACTATTTTCTTGACAACTGAAGATTTCTTAGGATTGTTGCATTCCTTCAATATGATTACATACCATACACATTATTACACGTCAGTAAGTCGTATATACATTGTAATTTACCGTTCAGGGTGGCTCAGTCGGTAGAGCGCCCGCTCCGTGATCGGGTGGTCGTGAGTTTGCATCTCAGCCGCGACTGACCTAAGTCGATAAAAAAAATGCGCTCGGCACTTTGAAGTGAAAGTTGTGGGTCCTTTTGTTGTGACCTTAAAATCGAGGGCCCGTGTCGTAATCGGCGTTGGTACGATAAAAAAACATTCACTGCTCAATGGCCCTGAGTGCCGAGTAAAGGTCAAAATTTGAAGCCCTTCACCGGCATACGGTGACGTCTCCATATGAGTGAAAAATTCTCGAGAGGGACGTTAAACAATATACAATCAATCAATACATTGTAATTTCGAATTCATTACACAAGATTGTCTTGAATTTTTCAACTTAATTAAGGTCAAAATCTAGTAAAATGAAAGGTGCCTACAGGCTTCTCTAATTCCAGAAATATATTGTTTTTAAGCATTATACACCAAAAAAATTATGAATTGAACTAAGATTATTTCGGCATGATTTTAAATTGAATTCCGTGAAATTCAAAATGCAGTATTTTCAACCATTTCTATTGAAGCTGTAGAGTACGGAAAAAAGTGAAATTGAATTAATTTTGACGTCATGATGGATCTAGCACAGGCTAAACACATTCACTAATTATGATGTCATACGACGTAGGTTCTACGTTAAGGTGCCAACCAAATATCCGACTTGCTTATATGATATTACGTCATAGTAAGCTACATGTGCATATAACGCGAACTTTAGAGATATCAATTTCTTAAAATCGATATCTAAGATTGATTTGAGGTCGTAAAATGAATCAAAATATGCAGAGGTATAATATAAGATCTTTCAAAAATCCTTAGAATTAACTTTTATAAATATTTAATATTGTGCAATATCAACAACATCAACCAATTTGTCAAATTTAAATCATTACTTTAATAAAAACGTTCTACCATTTCCAATCCAGGACCAGTACGCAGGTTTGTTAAGGGAACACACGGATCAGAATTCGTCGATTTAACACTTTTTAAATACTATATATATGTAACACTAATAAATCGGAAAAGTCATGGATAAAACTTTTGCTATGGTTATGCATTCTATAGACTTCAATGGGACTAATACTAGAGGAAGCACTACACCACAAGGTCACCACGTGAGGTCTATAATTAGAAAATATGCCTTAATGAAAAAGTGAAAAGTTTAACACTACCTCGGGGATACCGTAATTAATTCGATCCAAACAATACACGTGTTTTTTATTGTCAGAAACAGAAACATAACTAAACTGCATATTTTGGTTGTGCTCTTTATGAAATTTTGGGGGGGGGGGGGGATCCGTTTTTAAAGGATTTTAAAGTATAAGAGAAAAATGACGCATTTCATGACGTCATAATGCTTGACTAGATGAAAAATTACGTCATGGTCGATAGATACATGATCATCAAAAGTACCTGCGATAAATACTCTATGTTCAATCAAAACTCAGCAGTTTGATTTCTTCAGAAATTCTCTGGTTCGGAAAAGGCCTTATGTTGCTTTTGCTCTTAACTATATTTTTTGCTAAATAATACTGAATGAGGAATCAAAATTTTTAATGATACATGTATACAGGCTATTTTATACATGTACGCCTACTACTAACAATGGTTCCAAAGTTACCTTTTACAATTTTTGAAAGATGATATAAAAAAGATTTGCCTTCATTTAGGGTTATAGTTACTGTAGTTCTAATTTGAAACGCCTCACTATTACTTTGAAACAACAATTATAATAAACACGTTTTCTTCTTTATTAATGTAACACAACATATTAATTTATAGCTGCAGATCTGTAGCTCTCCGAAAAATATAAACTGATAGACCGGAAAGCTACAGTGTCACCCATTGAAAAAACTGTATATTTATTGCGCACAAAAAAGTGCGCTGGATTCTTGATTAATTTTTTTCAAATTCTTACCTCAATTGCAAAAAATGGAAGATTTAAAAAAAATACCCTCTTCTCTATCAAGTTCTTTCGTAGCTGACATCTGAACGAAGCATATTGGACCGAATTATCTTTGAAACCAAAATGGCAGTATGAATAAGCGAAATGTCCAATGATTGCAATATCAGGGCCAGGAGGACTATAAACAACAATTATGGGTAATGTTTTGTTGTGGAAAGAGTCAAAGAATATGTAAGGGACACACGGTTAGCAATATTTTGAGATTACAGCTTTAAAAACATGGAGAAATAAATCGAGAACCCAGCGCATTTTTTTTGTGCGCAATAAATATACAGTTTTTTCAATGAGTGGCTCTGTAGCTCCCCGGTCTATCAATAATTTTTTTTTCGGAGAGCTACAGATCTGCAGCTAATTAATTTATCAAAGTGAACGATTAAAATCGAAACAGTGTTCTATATTAAAGATGAGTAAATGTTTCTCATTATTTAATGACAATGATATTTACCATAAAACATAACTGTAAGTAAGTAAGTAATCATTTATTATAGTGCATTATAGACATTTCAATATACATTGTAAACACAATACGTCAAGCTGAATCTGCACCCGGCCCACTGGACCTATAAGTCACTTTTTCCATAAATAACATTTATATAAATTTACACATGCAGAAGATTCTTTCTATGGTTAAATGCTGTATGTACAAATTTGGCTAACTTTATTTGGTAATTTTGATTGAAAACTTTAAACAAATAATCATTATCATTACTATTTTGGTGCTCCTTGTACACACTATCAAAATATTTTCCCCTAACATTATTATACAATTGACAGTCTAATAAGAAATGTTTTTCGTCTTCAACAGAGGAACTAGAACAGAAAACACACGTTCTTTCACTTATTGGTTCACTTTTTTTATCGACCGGTTTCAATGCGTAAGGGAAGCACTCCATATCTGAACTGTGCCAAGGTTGACCGTTCGTTTTTTTAAAAATTTGATGCAACATACGGTTCGGTTTCACAATTAACTTTGAAGGAAATATATATCCTTAATTTTGGTGATGATTGTATTTTCACTTTCCATTCATTTTCAGCATATTGACGAAGTTTTTGGTACATGTATTCTGTATCTACTGTTTGCTGGTGTTGAAAAAGACTGCTACTGTTGAGACTGTCAAAAATGTTTTTGACCTGTGAATACCACACACCCTGCATATTATAATCCCAAAATGAGAACTTTTTCGTTAATTTATCAGTATCCAACTGAAGAATTCGGTTCCAAAGGCGAACTATATTCAGCCAAAGTCGCTGTGTAGAGTGTAGCCACCCAACTTCGCTGTTAAGGTTAAATAAAGGAGTAAATTGGTGAAGTCCCAGAAAATAACGAATTGCACGATTTTGCACCATATTAATTAAAACATTACAACCCTATACTCCCGAACAATAATCAAGAACTGGCACAACACAAGAATTATAAAAGTTTCCGTATGTTCTGAATCCAGCATCCTTATAAGAGTGTATTCTCGAAATCACTCCACCCATTGCCCTGCCTCCGGCCTTCGCTAGAGTCTCCGCTGCAACATATAAAGAGGACTGCTTCTCATGAAAAATTAGTCCAAGGTATTTATATTGTGGAACGATCTGTAATTTCTCACTTCCTATCCTGAATTCAAACTTAGTGCGAGGTTGACGCCCTTTACGAAATTTCACAACATTTGACTTTTCCTTATTTACATTTAACCGCCACTTTAAGCACCATATATTATAAAATAAATCCAGTTTTCTGTTAATAACACGATATTATCGGCGTACAAAAGTAAAGAAACTTTCTCATCATTGATTGGAATTCCTATATTTGTTTACTTGATATTCACTGCTAAGTCGTTAATAAAAATGGAGAACAGTGTAGGTGATAAAGTATCTCCCTGGCGAACCCCGTTTTGACTAGTGAACCAACTTGTATGAAAATTATTCAAACGCACACAAGATTCAGTCAATAAGTAAAGGCTATAGAAATGACATTATACAATGTACATATCACCATCTATTCAATTGAGCCCAAGCTTATATTGTAACAGTTGTCTGTCCACCAGATCAATTAAACGTTGCGAATGTTGACGATTCTGAATTATACTGTTCAATACAAACACGTGATCTACGCATGATCTTTCTCCACGGAAACCATTTTGTTCATCAACTAAAATGAAATTATCTTCCAGATATGTTTGTAGTCTATTGTTTAAAATAGAACTATAGAATTTGGCTACTAATGAAAGCAAACGTATTCCACGAAAGTTTAAAGGAATTCGTTGATCTTCTTGTGAATTTTTTGGAATATTAGGGTGTATTATCGCCATTCTCCATATAGAAGATATTTTACCGATTTCAAACCAAAGTTGAAATAATTTGTGTAACACTGAAATGATATTATTGTTTTTCATGACTTCATTGTAGAAAGATCATGCGTAGATCATGTGTTTGTATTGAACATTGTAGAGTAGATCTATTCCCGCAGCTTTCTCGTCCTTGGAATGCAAAACAACCTGTGCGACTTCCTCACGTGAATATTTTCGCTTAAATACGTGTTTGGTACATAGAGAGGGTAGATCATAATATCTCCTAGCATTTGCTTATGTTGTAACGCAGTGTTATAAAACGAATTATCAAAATTTGAACCACTTTGAGCGTATATATTTGAAAAATCATTCTCTCATTTACGAAGTACTTCATCTGTGTCCGAAGTTGTTTCACCGTTTTCTTTATAAATTTCCATAGGGATCACATTTTTCTTTCACCATTTATCAAGCTGCTCCCAAATTTTCTAGGATTTTCAGTTGAAATTTTCTCTATTTCAAGTGCAAGATCCGATCTATACTTCCTTTCGTAAAAACGTAACCGTTTGTCAAATCCTTTTTGTGATGAAGAAAAGTCCGCTCTAGCTTTTCGTTTCCACTTATGATCTTTTTCCTTTAGAAAAATCTTTTCTTTATTGCGCATATCTTTCCATAAACTAGTAAGTTCTTCATTCCAATAGGTTTAGTTTGTTGCAATTTTTTCCGAGTTCGTTTTGAGCAGTCTTTGTGCGGTTTTTTCCTCTCCATTTCTTTGACTGTTATTTCACAAAATTTTGAATAGATATCATCAATTTCCTTCTGTGTTTCTTTACAAAGTTCAATATTTCTAATCAATTCTAGTAAGGAAGATTTTAAAGGTCTGATCATTAAGTAATTTTTAATTTAAAATATTTCCGTGACTTATCACTCAAATTGTTCTCAGTAAGTTTATCCGTAGGGTGCATTTGTTTAAGTATATCCTTTGCTTCAATCCTGTACTGATAGTCAAATACCAAAAATGCATGATCTGGGCATTTACATTTAGTTCCTAGAGCGGATTGTATCATGTAATACTCCCGCATGACACTATTTGGAATTCAGTACAATGTGGTAAAACATCATGAGGTATGCATGCATAATCGACGACCGCTTTCCCTCTGGTTGAGATGGAAGTGAACCGGTTTGATTTCTCTCCAAATCATCCATTTAAAACACAGAATTTACTATCAATTAGGAATATATTCCACGAATGAGTTTCCATGTTTGTTGCAAACATTATCAATTACACATCTGTCGTTGATATTATTCACAACTAAAATTTTTGGAATGTCCAATTCGAGAACAAATATGATATCCATGTCATAATTCAGATAAATCTGCGCCAAAATATGCGAATAAAAGTTTTCTGCATCACGTCCCCAATTCGAATTCTCTGGGGGAAGGTAACACGAGTGCACAGCAAATCGAATGTCGGATTCTTTGTGTTTAAATTCCAACCCTAAGATATCTTCACATGACTTGTCATTAACACGAACCACAAAATGTTGTAATATTGTTTTCCTTACCAAACTTCCTACTCCACCAAATGTTTTTGGTGCACGAATATGCTTAGAATTTCTCTTGTATCCAAAGCATTCATATCCCTGATCGCTCAAGTCCAATTTCTCATTATCTTTGAGATGAGTTTCATTAATGCTTATTATGTCCGCATTCATATGTTCAATAAGTAACACACTTAAATCATGATTGTTAACCGTCCACCCACCTACGTTGATGTGACTAAATTTAATTGGGTGTTCAATAATTCCTATCCATTTTTCATCCACCAGGTCGTGCTGCACGTGATGCGGTGTATTCTCTTCCGTCTGCGTTTTCTTGACAATGCGACCACTAGCAGTAATTCGGTACTGTTTTCTATCTGGGAGTTCATTTAACAGCGTGCGGGCATTTAATTCCAAGATTCGCTCGGTATGTGATTTGCTACATCGAAGATAAACCTTTTTGTATTTTTCTATCCATCTGAGTGTCCGTTTTTCCCGCAAAATTTGTTTTTTCTTTTCCAGATTTGCAAAACTTATCTTAATTATTCCTGGCCTTCAAAATTTTCTACTCTTTAAACGAGCCGCTGCTACTACATTCACCGCAAAATTTGTTTTTTCTTTTCCAGATTTGCAAAACTTATCTTAATTATTCCTGGCCTTCAAAATTTTCTACTCTTTAAACGAGCCGCTGCTACTACATTCACCGAATCATGAAGACATCCTACCAGATCATTGGCGATTTCCAAAACATTTTCATTTCCCTTTTGTTCAACATTTGTCGCAATAATAGTAATTTTCAGGTCATTTAGCGGATCTGTGCTTGAAGCAATACCTGCACAGTTCATTGGGATTGAACTAATTTCTAAGGCCGGTCGTTCTATTTTCTCAACTTTATCTAGTGGCCCCAGAATAGAGTCGATGGACTGTGACAGGACATCGATTTGTTTTTGTTGACTGCCAAGTTCAAGGTCAATATCGCTTTTTATAGCTTTGAGTTTCTCGTCAATTCTTAATAGAAATTCGTTTCGGAATTTATCCAATTTACTATCCAAAGACTTTTGTAACTGCAACTGACCTTTCTGTAAATTTTCGATAGCCTGCCAAATGATAATCACCCGGTCCGTCAAATCTAAATCCGAGTTTTCCAGTCGAACTCGCCATTTTCTTTGCCTGAGGTTTTGGTGTCTGCCCAACAGATGACTGACGACGACGCTTTTCTGACTCGGACATTTAATTCATCCCAGAAATAAAAAAAATTGAATAGCAATGCTACAGAACACACAAAATTTCACAAAATTCCTGCACAAAATCTGGTATAGGTCCAAAATTAGTCAAATTTTGCACAGTGTTATAAAAGAAAACAATTATCTCCTCACGCATGCGCACCAATAACTTATACTATGCGCAGTAAAATACATAATATTTAAAAATATCTACCTTTTATCTAGCTGTTTTCGTCTATGCTTTACAATTCATATCCACCTATAACATATGTAATGATAAAATTACAATTATAGCAAAATACTTATTTATCACCAAATGTATCTGCTGAAAGAGATCTGAAGTAATTGTCATGAGATTTAATTGTTTCCCCAAGTTTGGATCGAAAGGCTGTTACTTCATCTTTATCTCCACCCTCTGGAAATTCTATATAAGATTTTGAATCGATCAAATCCATGAATGAGAATGGTAGTTTTTTCAAGGCGTCTTTCTCTAAAGCCACCAAAAACAGAACGTTTTCACCATTTCTGGAATAAATGGCCTCCATGCGCGCCATGTTTAGTTCAAACATGCACCAGTATGATTGTAAAAACTGCGACGTTATGATGCAGACGGTTTTCCTGCTGTAGTGAATAGCGTTCGTGATATTATCAGCTATCCCTGTTCCTGGGATGAAATCACGATGATGTATACACAGTCTTAGATTGAATTCCTCCTCCAAACGCTTGACTAGGTCGATAACAAATATTCTGTCTTTATCTGAGTAAGAAAAAAATGCATCAAAATAAAATGAATCCTCGCCTAATTTTTCTTGCCCTTGATCACTATATTTTTCCCTCGCCACGTAATACATATATCTTAACTTCCACCTATATCTATAAAGAATACGGCTCGTGGTGATTGTTAAGATGACGATAATTAATGACGTCATAATGACAATGATGAGGGTATATGAGGAACACTGTTTCTCCATCAGTTGGAGTAATTCGATATCTGAGAATCTAATCTTTGAGGAATTTGATAAGGTACAGATATAGTCATCAAAATCTTGGAAAATAACATGCTTTGCAGTAAGCAACCATTTTACGAATTCGAAGTTTTCGCAATTGCATCTTAACCTGTTACCCTTTAAGTTCAACGAGAAGGTCTTGTTCTTAGAAATAGCGTCCAAAGTTGTCCTAGTTGTCTTATTCATTGTGGAAATCTGATTATTGGAGAGATCTAGATATTTCAAATTAACCATATTCTCCAAGGGCAATGTAAACGTACTCAAAGAATTAAAACTGAGGTTAAGATTTTCCAGATAAATGAGATTTCGAAATATATTTGCGGGAAGGTGAGCGATCCTGTTTCGGGTAAGGTTCAAAGAGGTGAGCATGCGCAGGTTTTGAAATATATCTCCATTGATATCATTTTCAATAGTTTCACCGAGAACATTATTGGACAGATCAAGGTGAGACAGGTTTTTAAAATCTTCGAAAAATCTCGGCGAAATATAGCTGCAAAAGTTATTTGAGAAATCTGCATAAATAACACTTTCTAAGCCTTTCATTGGTCCATTCAGTTTATAAATTATACTGTTCTGCATGTAAATATGAGACAGCATAGGCTTCCCGAAAAATCTGAATGTAAACTCTTGAAGAGTCATCTTATACAAATTATCGTGAAAGTAAAAATATTGTAATGTCGAGGGCAGGGAGATGGTTATATTAGCTTGTCTTTGAACAGAAAGCCATCCGTTCATAAACAAGTCTACATGTTTGTCATTGGAGGACGAATTGTTACACACCGGTTTTGTATCATTGCAGCCAATGAAAAAGTCCTTCAATTTTAATTGATGGAAGGAAGACTGAAAACTTGCATCAATGGTCAGCAAGTTGGCCACATTTCCGAGTTCCACTATATATAATCCAAAACTTAGTACATTATTGGCCAGATTTAAATGTTTTAGCGACGTGGGAAGCTCCGACAGAACGCCCCATTCAAGGCTGTTGATGCGGTTTGAAGCCAAGTTAAGGTTTTCCAGTCGTGTATGTTTAAGATCGATAAGATGATATTTTTTAACAATTAAACTCACTCCGTACGTGCATTGCAGTTTTTCAAAATTTAGAATTCGGATTGAAGTTGAATTTTTTAAATCACTTGATACGTTAGCTAGAACCTCAAGTGTCAGTTCCTGATTACCGGAAATATCTAAGTGCACAAGCTTTGAAGAGTTTTGAAAGGTACCAAGTTCAATAGTTTGAAGCAAGTTATCGGAAATGCTTAGATTCCTCATAAAATTATATTTTTCCAATGATCGTTGATTAATGTTTTTAATCCAATTCCTCGATATGTCCAAGTAAACAATGTTTGATGGAAGAGTTGTTGGGAAATTCGAAATCTTGTTATTAGCAAGATTTATTCCCATGACATTTCTATCAAATGTCGGAGCAGAAGTTAGACTGAGGCCTTCACAATTCGCCCACAATTGTCCATTGACTTTATGACACACACATTGTTTGTTTGTCGTACAATCCATTGCTTCCGCTTGCATTAATCTTATGATGAAGAGTAAATATCCAAATCCAGTCACTGTGAAACTCATATTTCTACAAGGTAAAAAATAATTAATGCATAATAGTACCTAGAATTTCCTGTTGGCGAATTTAATTAAAAAAATAAAAGAATCTTTGCAAAACTTCAAAGATGTTAAAAATGTCATTTCTTTTTAGATAATGTCAATCGATAATACATGAATCCATCATGTTTAATTGTAAAAAAAGGAAAGGGTATTTTTAAAGAAATATCTGTTTTATTATAAAAAATAAATAATTTAAAAGAAAATTTGCCAAGGAACGCACATATATCTATAAAGATGCACACGCTCTTACTTAAAACAGTAAAACATCTTTTTAATTGAAGAAAAAAAGGAAGAAAAGTAAAGCTAATTGTATTTTTTATTTCAAAATTTATTAAACAAAGAAATGCTTTACATTTTTTGGACAAAAAAGAAAGAAGCTTAGACACATCACGCCTTTGTATTTTTTGTGTGTTTTTCATTAAGACATTAAATATAACTGAGCGTATTGATATTTACATTCCCTCAAGAAAGCAATCTTTCCATTCAGTTTAAAAATCCAACTTGATTTCAAAATCTTTATTCAACTAGTTTTCAAAACAGCTTTAAGGAGCCAAAAAATGCAATTTAAAACTAAATAATTAAAACATTACTGTTACAAATACTTTCCTGCTGGCGATTTCTGAATAAAAAGCAGACGGACGGACAGACGGACGGACGACGGACAAAATGTGATCAGAAAAGCTCACTTGAGCCTTCGGCTCAGGTGAGCTAAAGAAAGGAAGAAAAGAAAAGCTAATTGTATTTTTTATTTCAAAATTTATTAAACAAAGACGTTTATCAAATTTTTTGTGTGTTTTTCATTTTTTTTTTTTTAACATTCCCTCAAGAAAGCAATCTTTCCAAAAAATCCAACTTGATTTCATTTTATTCAATAATGTTTTCATAATTGATAAATTTTCAACAATATTTCATGAGATTTCAAAGAATTAAATACATTTAACAAATAATGCGTTTAACAAATACTTATTCTTGAAGAAAGAATGAAGCTTCGACAAATCCTGTATTTAATTTTAAAAATATCTGTATTTTTGTTTTTGTTTCATGAGGGCATTAAACAGATATTAAGGGGATTATTATTTGAATTCCATCAAGGAAAAACTAACTTTCCAATTCTTTGAAACAGGAAGTTTTAAAATAAATCAACCTTGAATTTTAAAATTAAATTCAAGTGGTTTAAAATACTGCTTTATTTGTTAAATTATCCTCGTAAGAAAATTCTATACCTGAGACGGTTGTTTTGTAAGTAAAAGATGAAGTTCAGATTAAAAAAAAAAAAGAAAAGCAACTTTATGTTATGTAATAACATTCGGTTAATTTAAAAAAAAATATGTATTTTTATAGAACCGAGTAAATTGAAGTTTGAAAACGGTTCAGTCATAAAAATATCTCTTCAATACTTTTAATAATTTTTTATATAAAGCACATAATATTCATCAACTACATGTAGTAAGACCTGGAACTAGACCTTAAATGACATTTAAAATCATTTCAATTATTTAAACTGAAACAGCATTTTGATGCTCCAAACTTAAAATGTATCTTATTGCTTGTTATATATCAAGAAAAAAAAAAATAGGGGGAAACTTTAAAATACCCTTTATTATTATAGTGTATATCATGTCAAACAAACCTTTGTGAACGTAATCCTCCTTATCCTCCCTGGTTGCTGGTCATTTAACAAGTAAGGTCAGGTAAATTTATATAACTATAAAATGAAATACAACATGAATTTAAAAATATCGCAAGTTATAGAAAATTTATAAGTTAAATTTTGAAATCCGCACGTTTTTGTTTCAGTGTTTGTTTGTGTTTCATACCCTTCCATCAGCGACATCGTCACACCTTTACTTTTAAGAGATTCTTTTTCAAAATACAGAAATTTTGCCCGAAATGTATTGGATCTTTGAAATACAGTAAAACATCTTTTTAATTGAAGAAAAAAAGGAAAAGTTAGGCTAATTGCTTTCTGAATCTTAAGATATATAAGACAAAGAAATGCATTACATTATTTTGAAAAAAAAGAAAGAAGCTCAGACAAATCATGCCTCTGTATTTTTGTGTGTGTCTCATTTTAAAGACATGAAAAATAATTAAGTGGATTATCATTTACATTCCCTCAAGAAAGCAATCTTTCCATTCTGAGAACCACGATCAAAATTTTTTTTAGCTAACATGAAGTTGCTTTTCTATTTCTTTTTTTTAATCTGAAGTCCATTTCAAACAAACCTTTGTGAACGTGTTCCTCCTTATCCTCCCAGGTTGCTGATCAATCAACAAGTGAGGTCAGGTAAATATACACATACTATAAAATGAAATACTACATGAATTTAGAAATATTGCAAATTATAGAAAATTTATTAGTTAAATTGTGGATTCCGAAAGTTTTTCTTTCAATTTTTTGTTGTGCTCCGTACCCTTTGATCAGCGACATAATCACAGCGTTACTTTTTTAGAATTTTTTTTTTTTTCAAAATACAGAAAGAAATACGCACGCTAACTCTCGATTCCCGCCTACATTTTAGAGCCATTTAATTCAATATAAATAGCTATTTCGCCATTAAATCTTTGTTTAATACAAAGAACAGTTCAATGATAATTGATAAATTGACTTAATACCAACGCTAAACAGTAAATTATTCATAATTCCAGCTCTTGAAAAAAGGGGGGTAGGCGATATTTTCCATTGAAATCGGAGTTTCAAGCATCACCATATTTTGAAATAGTCTTGGATATGATTAAATGTTCCTTATATTTTTTCTTATGTTTTAGGCAAATAAATAAAACATAAATATATCAACTAGATACGATCTCGTTGCGAGCAACGAGAGGTCTTCCGTCCGTTTTAGGAAAAGAAACCCACGTAAAATCGAGCTGAAAAGAGAAATTAAAAATTTTGGTCACAAGGAGGATTGAACCAATGTCGCCAACGTGAATGTGCTTTTTTTTTACTTTTTTATCCTCAACGCGCTAACCATTAAGCTATTGAGAGTACTGCTCTAAACATGCTTGTGTATACTTTTGCAACAGTTCACCTGTCTAAGAATTATAAAAAAACATTCATAATTTCGCGGCAAACGCCACGAGTAAATATTTGCGCCTTTTCTTTGGACTGATCTATTAAATAGGTATGATAGCTTCTATTAAATTTTAAAAATAAAACATTCTTAGCGCCTTTATTTTATTTCGACGTTAAGAAAGAATATGTAACACATTATAAACATTTCATATTGTATCTAGCCCAGTTACACTAAAGCAGTGAAACGGAAATTTAGTTTTAAGATTGACACTTAATTGCAACTTACCCGTATATACTCGCCTATAATTCGTTCCGCCTATAAGTCGGTTGTATTTTAAAAGCTTATATACCATAGGGACTGACCTCATATAAAACCATTCATTTTATAGCTCGCCTATAAGTCGGACATAGAGTTTTGGACCAGAAATTAACTCCCAAAAATCCGACTTATAGGCGAGTATATACGGTACTACTGTAACGTGTCGGACCTGAGCGGTCAGTAGGTCCGTGCTCGGATTACCGAGTTTTACTGGGGATATGATTGAATGCAATATTTACAGATAATAATATGACACCTGCCTGGTGTCTTTAAATTGAATAACCTAAGTGCTTTGTACACTTATATATCTTCAGTTAATACCGGCAACTGCCTGGTGCCATATGACAATTGCCTCACCATACAACTGACTACATAAGTCAACAGTCACCTGCTGGTGACTATATAACTCTATCCAGGTAGCTACAATATAATTACACAGTATTTAACTTTGTAAGAGCTTTTCTGTCCTAATGACAAACATATAGCTAACGTCACAAAGCTATATTTAAACTAGTCACTGACTACGGCAACTTTGCACAATTCCATTTGATTGATACACTAATAGGTTTCTGCACCAAAGTGAAGACACAAGCCAATTAGCTGTACTGCCCCCTTGTACCTCAACTTAATCAACGATCATAAGTTATCAGATATCATATTGATAAAATACTACAGACTGCCTTTCTTTTGGCAACACTATTATTATTTTCTAACAGAACATCATTTATCAATAAAACTTGTATAATTCTGTTGTCAATTGACCAATTAATTACAATATCTACATTAAATATCTATTATAATATAAACAAGTAACGGGAGGTAACTCCTCCAACCATTTCACTACTTCGTTAGAGTCGAAGTAGTTTTTTACATTTCATGTATCCTTATGTCAGAATCGTTTAATCAAACGCTCAGCTGCCTCCATAAACCCCTACTCGCGAAATGGTGGAGAGAGAGAGATAGCCGAGAGAGATTTTCAAATGTTAATATCTAGAGTTCAGACAAACCAATATCCAAACAACTTACATAGTAAGAATCAATCAAAAAGTCTCTATTATCATTCCAAAAATTGATAAAAAATATTGAAAAACAAAAAAGTTAGAAAATGAGATTTTTTTAAATTAGCTTCTCCTAACGACAGGAAGTACCGACGACGAACGAAGAGTTGCGTCCTGGATGGTATTTATCTCGATCTTTAATCCTTGAAAGTTTCATGTTGATATCTTTTACCGTTTTTGAGTTTAACCGCGGACAAAATGTCATTTTAATTTCAGGAAAAGTCCCTTAACTTGGCACCGAAAGCGAGTTTTCCAAAAATCTCTCGGAAAAAATAACTTCAGATAACAACACATTATTCCTGTAAATTTCATGAAAATCCATTCAGTAATCTTTGAGAAATCGCGTGCACAAATTTTGATGTACGGAAAAATAATAATAATAAGAAACAGTAGAATCGCTATAAGGTCTTCCGTGAAGACGGAAGACCTTAATAAAATATAATGTTTCAGTTGTATATTGCCTTGAACATGATGGAAAATAAGCATTTTTATCGTTTTTTTATCAATAAACATATGTTCCCCCCCGTGTCACACAAAAAGCTTTGGTACATGTATGAATATGTGAAATAACATTCTATATTACCTGTAAAAAGCAATTTTTGTGACACGGGGGGGGGGGAAGATGTTTTAAAAATATTTTTCCGTTTTCTGTTGATTTCTATAGTGAAAAACACAAGTTTTACCAAAATTTTAGAGTTATCTCTCCTTGTTTTCCCAAATAAGAAATATTTTATGAAAATCCAGATAATTATCTATAAAAAATATTAAAAATTCATCGAATATGTTACCTTTTGAAAATTGACTCGGAGGTAGGCGGGAGAACAATGCTATCGTTCGCAGTTCTTTTGCCCGAAATGTATTGGATCATAAAGATACATATTTCTTTGAATTTTCATAACTATATGACTTCTGTAAGAGTAAATAATTGCAGATTTTTTTTGAACGACCTTCGTACATAATATAACGTGAACTTGTTAGTCTATTACATACTATTTATAGAGTCATCTGCCAGGTTAACACACCTCGTCAAAAACATCCTCGGCTGCTTGTTTACTTTTCAATAATTTTCCTTCTCAAATGATGATTGATGAAAACTCCTGGTTGATTTATTGAAGAAATGTACTAATTCTCCTTATTCACCTCTAAAGAGAGAGAGAAGGGGAATTCCAAACATTATCATTCATATTTTAATCACTAAGTTTAAATTTCAGTTCAACAAAGCGTTGAAATTTAAAATCATGCCTGTCTTCACTGTTTATTCAATAGAAACTAACAAGCATAGAGTCTTGAATTTTACGCTTGAAGCACTGTGAACGTGACTTTTATTTTGTGCATAAAAAAATTAAGAATAATAAGGATATTAAAGAATTAGAGAACAATCTTCTTCTCAGGAACTACTGTAAGCATCCTGGGTAGTGTAGATTTTGAATTTTCCAAATTATGACACATAGAGTAGGAGGAATATGCTTGAACCATAATATTAATTTTATCAATCACTCAATTTAATATGTATAATAGCTATCGTTAGAATACATGTATAATAATACCTTTCTTATTAATACCGGAAATTTAATATGAATCTCTTTTCGACTAAAAATAAAATCTGGACTCTTTAAATGACTCTATTTTATTTTATACGGAAAATAATAAAGGAATGGACTATATAAACGTTGACAATTGTAATCAAATTTCTTTGGCTTAGTACGTAGAACATGTTCTTTGTTCGTCCTCGTAATATTGTTTATATTCTATATTGTGGTGATGTAGATGTTTCTACAATCAATAAAAAATACCTCTCAAAATAAAACAAAACCCAGTGCAAAGATCTGAAAAAAAAATTATAATACATTTGTATATAAAAATACGGAATTCCTCAAACACACATCCAAAAAATTAAGGTACAAATTAGCATTACAGGTTGACATTAGTTACCTTTAAAAAAATAAAAGGCGTTTTACAAGCTATCCGTATATGGCATTCATGTTTCTTTCTTGTAAAGGGTGACTGCACACAACGACGTGATTAATTGACTTGATAGATATCAAGGACATGTATAAAAAAATCCCGAGATCTCTTTTTTACGATCTCCCTATTTATTCTGTATGGTACAAATACATTATTTACATGGGTAAAACATCTAATTAACAATATGCGCCAGTACATGCAAGTAAAGAATATTTTAAATCGATGCCTGTCAATGTAACTAGTTCTTCTTAGCAGAGAACTTGCAACCTACAAATTCAATTGATGCAAAGCATCAAAGCGGC